GAACCGCTCCCATGCTGTAATAAATCTTTGTAAATAACTGCTGAGACTTCTCTTTCAGGGGGAAAGGAGAGGGAGGAGGTAACAGGTTTCCCTGTTACCCTGTGGTGGTCATCCATGGGTCAGGTCCTCGACCCTAGTGTCCAGTCCTCTAGTTTGGAGCCTTGATTGCTGACAAGCTCCGAGCCCTCTTGGGAAGGACCACAGGAGTTCTAGATCCTGCTGGGGATGGCTGAAAGAGGCAGAGGGGGAAAGAAGAGTCCTTCAAAAGTAACTGGATTCCTCCAAAGGGCCTGTCCCCCAGCCCCACAGGCCTCCCCTCAGGAAGATCCCCTTTTTTCTCCACAGTGCCAGGCCTGTGTGGCCTAATAAGGATGATGCCCCTGGGCTTCTTTCCAACACCCCTACCGTTAGGAATATCCTTTCAGGTCTAACTTTAGCTGCAGCCCCCACTTCCGCCCCTTGGGGGTGGGGCCCGAGGGCTTGGGGGCGGGGCTGCAGTCCTACGCACGTTCGCTCTCGGGGGCGGACTTAGTGGCGGAAGTGGCGCCGCCGGGAGATCCCCTTCCTCTCCGAGGCGCTGCTGGGGCCGCGGAGACCGGCTGCGGCTGGGGCTAAGAAGAACTGGGGCCGTAGCCGACATGGAGCAGGTGGGTCCGCGAGAGGTCAGTGGGACCGGGTGGTGGTACGAGGGCTACGTCTTGCCAGCAGATCCCGCCTCTCTAGCCGGTGTCCGTTCATAGTTCAGTCCGACCCTTCCCACACCCCCTGCGCCCCAGGTTCCGCCCCCTTCCTCTGCTTGGCCTCGCTCCACCTCGCGCCGGGTTCGAGGGTCTCGGGCGCTGACCGTCCGCGGCCCCGCCCACTCGAGAGAGCCCGGGAAGGGCGTCCCAGATCGGCCTCCAAAGCCTATCTCTTCTTTGTGAGCGGAGAAGCGAGGGGGCGGTATCTGGGTATTAAAGGGCAGGAGTTGGATATAGGGAGGGGTCAGGGCCTGAGAATGAGGAGGAATATATCTACAAGTTACTGTAGCTCTGCGTCTCACTGTCATCCGGTCTCCCTCAACTTCCTTTGGAAATGGCAGTGAGTGACTTCCTAATTGACCTCAGAAGGGCCCTTTAGTATCTTTCTTGAGTTCTTAGAGGTGCATACTGACTCGTAATTGAAGTTGTTGATACGTGCCTCTCTCCCCCTTTTTTGGCTTCCTCCGCGTCAGCATCCCCTTATTTTCTCCCTGCTTCTCTGGCTGTAGAAATACCGTTTCACGTTCTCCTCTCTTGCGCAGTCCCTTACTCCGTACACTGAATTTGGGTGGCCTCGTCAACTCTCATGGCTTCAGCTTTACACAACCTAAATACCCGAAACGCGCCCAGATCTCCATCTTCAGCGGAGTGCCCCTCCCTGGAGCCTCAGACTTGGCCATCCAGCTACCGGTTGTGCAGCTCCACTCCAGCTGCCACTCACTTCGTCTGAACTTGAACTGCCGCTCTTTTCCCCTGCAGATTCATCCTTTCTCTACCACCCCATCCCAGCCAGAAACCTGAGAATTATACTTCCTCTTCTTTCTCAATTCCCATATCTAAGAGGTGACCTGAACATGCTTCACACCTGGTCCTGTGCCTCTAACTCTCTTGTTACCACCCTTGTTGATGTGTTTCTCAGCAGGATGACTGCAGTGACTTCCCAGCAACTTCCGATCATGGCTGCCTGCAACCCAGCCTCCAAACTGTAACTCTTGTGATCCTTTTATTTTTTTAATTAATTAATTTATTTATTTATGGCTGCGTTGGGTCTTCGTTGCTGCACGCGGGCCTTCTCTAGTTGCGGTGAGTGGGGGCTACTCTTCGTTGCGGTACGAGGGCTTCTCATTGCCGTGGCTTCTCTTGTTGCAGAGCACCGGCTCTAGGCGCACAGGCTCTAGAGCACAGACCCAGTAGTTGTGGTGCACCGGCTCAGCTCCTCTGCAGTATGTGGGATTTTCCCGGACCAGGGCGCAAACCCGTGTCCCCTGCATTGGCAGGCAAATTCTTAACCACTGCGCCACCAGGAACTGCCTCTTATGATCCTTTAGAAACATATCTCATAATGTCACTTCCTTGCTTAAAACCCTTTGATGGTTTCCCATTGCCTTTGGGAAAGACTGAATCTTTAGCACAATTTACAGAGCTCTCAATGACCTGACCTCTTCCCTACCCTGTGTGTACCCTAAGGTCCGATAATATGGCATTGCAGGATGCGCTTGTCCACACCTTTTGTGTCACCATGCCTTTGCATGCACCAGCCCCGTTGCCTGAAAGCCCCTTCTCCTTTTACCTGCTGGGCTACCTTCTGCTTGTCCTTCAGTGCTCTGCTCAGGCAGCATCACCTCTGGACCACCTTCCCCCCACCACCCCCAAGGCTAAATATTGCCCCGAGTCCCTGCAGCACCTGTCCGTAATAGCATGATGATTGACAATACAGACTCCTGAATCAGACTTCCTGCGTTCTCATACTGTTTTGTGATCTTGATGAAGTCACTGCCTCGGTTTCCTCATTTGTCAAATGGAGATAATAATGTGCCTACCTGGCAGTTATTGTGAGTATGAAATGAAATAGTGTATGTTTAGGGCTTAAAACAGTGAGCACATGAGTGCTCAATAAATAAGTGTTAGCTATTACTCTTTACATAAGAATAATATAGAACAGTGGTTATAACTTTTAAAAATATTTTATTTATTTATTTTATTTGGTTGGGCCCCATCTTAGTTGTGGGAGGTGGGCTCCTTAGTTGCAGCCTGCGAACTCCTAGGTGCAGAATGCATGTGGGATCTAGTTCCCTGACCAGGGATCGAACTCCGGCCCCCTGCCTTGGGAGCGTGGAGTCTTAACCACTGTGCCACCAGGGAAGTCCCAATGGGTATAAATTTTTTTTTTTTTTTTTTTTTCGGTACG